GATCTATAAAAAGTAGACAGAACTGTAAACGCTCAGCTGCTAGGGCCTTTGAATGTTGAGACAAATTGTTCGGCTTGCTTCCTGGAGTGAGGCTATAATACAGCCCAGTATAGCAACTGCTGTTCTTAATAATATACCTGGGTCTCTAAATAACAACACGCTTGGATTAGCTGTTACAAGGGGTGGGATGAAAGAAAAAGGGCAGTTTTTTCACCCTTGCTGGATTGGCTCCGTGGATAGAGTGTCGGCCTGCAGACTGAAGGGTCCTGGGTTTGATTTCAGTCAAGGGCGCATACCTTGGTTACAGGCTTGATCCTTGGCCCTGGTTGGGGCACATGCAGGAGGCAACTAATTGATGTGTCTCTCTCACACAGATGTTTCTCTCTCCCTGTCTCTCCCCTCCCTTCCACTCTCTCTAAAAATCAATGGAAAAATAGCCTCCTCTGAGGATTAATAAAAATCAAAACAAAACAAAAAGGTCAGTTTTTAAAGGGTGGGGGAGGGAGCATGATAGTCACTAGCTGGTATGCTCTCCCTGCCCTCAAATGCTCACTTGTACATGGGCAATGTAGTGGATTATTTGTTGGCTCTTTAATTTTTTTTAACAAAAAACAATCTTTATAATAGACACCTAAATACAATATGGTTCTTTTAAATGAAATCATGTGTATATAGTTGTATTCATAAAGATAAGTATACTCATCAAAAACTATACAATAACAGCAAATCCAAATGCAAACAAAGATATTCTTCTGAATTGTTTCGAGCCTCAAAAACCACCAATCTTTTAGTCCTTTTCTTGTACATTATTCTGTATCCACATTCTCTGCACCTGATTGGATCCCTGGATTTTATTTCATTTTCTGCCTGACATTCTCCACAGATATATATCCTTGGCTGCTGCTTTGGGGGTTGGACGTCCTTCTGGGTGCCCATTGTTAATCCTTAGCACCAACACCTAATTTTTTTTTTAAATGAGCCATTTCCCCTTTTCAGGACAATGGTATCCTGATCCCATTTTAAAATATCTATGCATTTGATCCTCAAGCATGCAGTAAGGGTGGGATGGATAGCACTCCTCCAGGGGTGGCCCTAGACCAGTGATGGTGAACCTATGACACGCGAACTCATTTTTTGGGTTGATTTTTTTTTGTTAAATGGCATTTAAATATATAAAATAAATATCAAAAATGTAAGTCTTTGTTTTACTACGGTTGCAAATATCAAAAAATTTCTATATGTGACACGACACCAGAGTTAAGTTAGGGTTTTTCAAAATGCTGACACGCCGAGCTCAAAAGGTTCACCATCACTGTCCTAGACATTAGCAGATAGAAACACGCCATTTACCCTTTGACCTTGCCTCAGAGAGCAGCCTGTATCCAAACTGGCACTGTCGTGATGCAAGGGAATGTTTGCTGGGGCGAGTGAGAAACAGTGACTTCCTTTGTCTTCCTGCTAGGTGTCTCAGGAGGATGTGTGGTCTAGAACTGCTGCAGCCGCTCTCCTCCTGTGAATGGGAAGCCTGGAGATGCCAAGTGATGAGAGGGAGTCCTCTGTGGAGATTGAAGAAGAAGCCAAAGTTACAAAAGGCAGAGAGGCTGGGTCAAACCTCAACAGAAGCTGCTTTGGGGTTTTAATATATACATGCCTATGGATTCCTCCCCTCCCCCCCAAATTAAGCCAATTTGAACTGCTTTTTAGTTCATTGCAATGAAATGATACTGGCTGATATAACAGGTGAACAGAATCTTGAAAGAAGAGTAGAATTTTGACCAGAAAAGAATGAGTTTGAATGGTATTTCAACAACAACAATAACAATATTAACAATATCAACCACAGCAAAAATGTATCAAGCACTTAGTATGCTCCAGAAACTCTGCCTCCAGCTTCCTTTACTCCTCATAAAAACCATGCGAGTTCATTTGGGATGAAGCTCAGAAAGACTAAGTGACTTGCCCAAGGTCACACAGCTGGGAAGTGGATGGAGCAGCTGGGCCTGATGTTCAGGAATACGCTCTTTTCATGCTGCCTGTCTGCCTCCTCGAACCTTCCAGGCAGACAGCTGAAAAGAAGAGTCTATGGCAGTCATGGCGAACCTTTTGAGCTCGGCGTGTCAGCATTTTGAAAAATCCTAACTTAACTCTGGTGCTGTGTCACATATAGAAATTTTTTGATATTGGCAACCATAGTAAAACAAAGACTTATATTTTTGATATTTATTTTATATATTTAAATGCCATTTAACAAAGAGAAATCAACCAAACAAATGAGTTCGAGTGTCACCTCTGACACGCGTGTCATAGGTTCGCCATCACTGGTCTATGGGCTGAAAGACCATGGTCAGAGAGTGGCACCACTGATCTGTACAGTGACGAGGGGAGAATAGGGCAGGCAAATGTTGTTCAGAGGTTGCTGGACCCAGTGGTGCACAAAGTGTAGTTGCAGCCATTATTACTCTTACACACAAAATGTTCAAACCTGTAGAAAAATTTTATGAGTTTATTTTATTATTATTATTTTTTAAAATATATTTTTATTGATTTCAGAGATGAAGGGAGAGGGAGAGAGAGAAACATCAATGATGAGAGAGAATCATTGATTGGCTGCTCCTGCATGCCCCCTACTGGGGACCGAGCCCGAAACCGGGCATGTGCCCTTGACTGGAATGGAACCGGGGACTCTTCAGTCCGCAGCCCCACGCTCTATCCACTGAGCCAAACCAGCTAGGGCTACAAGAGTTTATTTGAGCCCAAACTGATGACATATGTTGGGGAGCAAGATCTCAAATGCTCCAGAGAATAACAGCTTGGCAGTTTCTTTTATGCATTTGAATTTAAGGAGGAACTAAGGAAGATTACCTGGAGGTGGGAGAAAGCAAGGCACAAGATTATGTGCTCTCTTGAGGGTTATTGCCCCCTTTGAGGGATATGTCTGGTCTTCAAAGGTGTGTTAACCTAGATGCACAAGAACAATGGACAGGGCTGGCTTCAAACCTTTTACTAAAGGAATTATAGCTCAGCAGGTGTGGCTCAGTGGTTGAGCATCAACACATGCACCAAGAGGTTGCAGGTTCGATTCCTGGTCAGGGCAGGTGCCCGGGTTTCGGACTTAATCCCCAGCCAGGGGGCATGCAGGAGGCAACAGATCGATGTTGATGTTTCTCTCTCATTGATGTTTCCATCTCTCCCTCTCCTTTCTCTCTCTCTGAAAATCAATAAAAGCATTTTTGAAAAAAAGAAATTATATGCGTGGGCATGACTGCCCATCATGACCTATCCAGTCAGGAATGTATGATCAGATCACCCTGTGAGATTACTTGCATAGAACCCCCTTTTCATCCATACATATCATTACCAACTGTGCAAACGGCTGAGGGACAAGAGCAGAGTGCTATGAAAAGAAGGAGGGAGACAGTTTAGATCAGAAGAGTGTGCAAGTGTTTAGGTAAGACCTTTCCATGCAAGTGTGATTTAAGCAGAGGCACTGATGTTCAAATGAGCAGATACAGTCTAGGCAGAAGGAACCACACAGGCAAAGGGGCAAATAGATTTGCATGTTTAAGGAACTGAAAGTGGACATGTGGCTGCAAAGTTAATGGGTGAGAGGTAGGAATGGGCTGGATTTTGCAGGGCCTGGAGGCCACCATTAGGACTTTTGATTCTCATTTACAGTATTCATTTCCTCCTTAAACATTTCCTAAGAATCCTCCACTGGGCCAGGCCATACCCAGGGAATAGGGATATAGTGATTGACAATAATGCCAATGATAATGGCTAATATTCGTGGGGTATATTTGCTATTAGAACTATTGTATTTAAGCACTTTGATGCACCAAGCCATTTAAGCCTCCCAGCAGCCCTATACTGGGAGATTAGAAATTAAGTAACTTTAGAAACTAAGTAATTTTCAAGATCAAAGTGCCAGCAAGTGGTAACAGGCAGCCTGACTCCAGAACTCCTAGGCACTTAATATTCTTAATGTGGGGGAGTGTGGAGGTAAGGAACAAACCTGTAGAGAATTTTTAGATGACATATGCCAGAGAGCAAGAGCTCAAATACTCTGGAGAATAACCGTTTTTGCAGTGTCTCTTAGGCATTTGAAATTAAGGGCATACCACAGAGGCACATCTTGGGGTGACTCCTCTGAACCCCTAACCACTATGACTTACTTCCTCTTGCCTAAGATTGGAGGACAGTGTTCCTAGTCATTTTCGCCACCCAAACAGTGCTTCAGAAGCAGGCAGCCAGGTAAGAAGAGAATTCCTCAAACTTGGCAGAACCTAAAAACTCTTCGGGGGAGTTAAAAACAGACCCTTCTCCTGAAGATTCCGCTTCACGAGGTCCACCCTGGAATTTGTATTTTAACAAGTTTGACCAACACTGGCTTGTGCAGGTCAGTTCAATGGTGTTTGCTGGGCAGACCCTCCTTTGGGTCAGATGCAGCTTTGCTACTTTTCCAGATGCCTGTCCGCTTGTGCAAACGGCCTGGCCGTTCTGAGCATCAGTTTCCCCTTCTGACACATGAGGGAAATGCTGCAGCACCATCGCCTACGGCTGCTGTGTGGATGAAGTGAGCTCTCCCCAAGTGCTTAGCGCCGTGTCTGATGTGGAGTGAGCGATGCTGATAACACCGGGACGCGATGATGACAGGGAAGCCGAAGACGCCTGGTGATTGATTGTTATGGATTCCAGCTGCTTAGAGGGCTGTCTGCCAAATGGTGCATGGGACAAGCTTATCGTCGCCTCTCTGGGCATTCCGTATTTTTATTAGTGAAACCTAACAACCCTACCTGCAGGCTCCCAGCCTGAGCCCAAACACACCCCTCTCCGCACTTGGGCCCCAGCCTGGGGGCCTCCGCTCGTCAGGCGCCCCAGTTGATCCCAGAGGGGCCGCTCAAGCGTCTGCCCGCCCAGGCAGCACTGGCGGGG